GGGCTGCAGGAGGCCTAGGATCAATTTTTCCATCTTTTAAAAAAAAAAATCCAATATTGATCTGTGTGACCCTGCACGAGTCCCATAGCTGCTCTGCACCTTAGATTCCTCCACAAGGGGGATATTAGCCCTGCCCTTCCCCCGCAGGGGGGGGAAGGTAAATGTAGTAAGGACTGGGAGGGGGCTCAGTCCATACGGCATATAAGTACCAGAGCGAGCTTGTCCCCATATCGCACTGGTGCGTTAAAGCACCTCGTATTGGTGGGACAGAGTGGTCCAGGATTGGCGGCTATAGATGGCCACACACCTTAGCTGGGGCGGTTCTCATGTGAGCCCCAGAGCTGGAGCAGATAGAGGTACACTCTGGGTGTGCCCCACAGCTGGGCCATCCTTGGGCTCTGCTGCGGGTATAGCTAAGTGCTGAGTTCTCAGAGTAGTTTCACTCCAGTTCTCACTTGATATTCACACCCTGTCCTAGGCCCCATGCTGACCATGGCGCAACAGGCATGGTGGGGAGGGTGGCATGCAAACGGTCCCCCTCCTGCCTCGGGCTTGCCCCTGCATTAGTATCCCACTCTGGCTGCCTTTTCTGGAAGGATGTGCCGTGCACAGGCCATGCTCCTTGGCTTTCACACAGCTGCTGAGGCACAGCCTTCCTTCTGCAAGGGTCCCTCAGATCTGAGTCAGCAGAACCAACCATGGTTCCCTGCAAGCCCCAAATTGGCCTCAATTGGCTGCACCGATGGGTTCGTTTGTGCCGACTCCCATGCCACTGACACAAGTGGCAAGAATCCTAATCCCACACTGGAGCTGATTGGGAAATCAAAGGCCTCTAGGGTTACATCTAGACTGTGGGGGTTTTCTGGGATACCAGAGGTATCCTCAAAAAACTCAGCTGTGTCCAGGGAACACAGTTTGCTCTTTTTTTTTTTTTTTTGCTCCTTTGGAAGCCCTGGTCTTGCGCGTTCCTTGAGGAAGAAGGGATCTGTCAAAAGAGGGTGTTTTCCCAAAATTTGGCTCAGTGTAGAGGGGCCAAATTTCAGAAAAGCCTCTTCTGGAAAAAAAAAAAAAAGCAGAAAAAGCATAGCTTTTTCATTTCTGAAAAAAGTTGTAATATAGACATAGCCTAGGACTTTGGGGGCAAGACTCCCTGGCTATGTCTACACTGGCAGCTTCTTGCGCAAGAACTTGCCTGCTGTCTACACTGCACGCACATTCTTGCGCAAGTAAATCTACAGAGTAGCGTTGTAAAACAGGGCTTCTTGCGGAAGAGTTATTCCTCTCCCCAAGAGGAATAAGCCCTCTTGCGCAAGAGCTCTTCCAGAAGAGGCCAGTGTAGACAGGCAACATGAATTTCTTGTGCAAGAGAGCATCTACACTGGCATGGATGCTCTTGCGCAAAAGCACATGCCAGTGTAGACGCTCTCTTCTGGAAGAGTGTTTGCATGAGAATGCGCCAGTGTAGCTATAGCCAAGAGATTTTTTCAACCAAGACTCTAGAGCCCTGCAAATCCACAAGTATCCTTTGTATCAGCCGGTGTTTGGGGGCATCCGCTTTGCATCTGCAGGGATCCACTTTTGTATCTATGGGTATCCACTTTATATCGGCAGGTATCTACAGCTGCAGATGTGGCAGCGGACATGCATGGCTCATTTTGGAGGATATGAATACAAATTCGTTGTACCTAGAGCTCTGCAGATTTGCAGATCTCCACTTTATATTCGTGGGTATCTGCATCCATGGCCGTGGCTGCGAACAGCCATGGCTCATTTTTGCAACCACAGGAGCAGATGCAGAGACCAATCTTGTATCTACGCAGGATTGTAGTATCCCAACAAGCAGCACAGCTTGCCTCACGCTTCGGGGAAAGGTCACAGCTAGGGAAGTGGGGTAGGAACAAGTGAGGTAGGCAGCTGGCTGTAGGTGAGGCTCTGGGGCTGGACAGAGCAAGGTGTAATAAGCAGGTAGAAAGCAGCCCCCATAGGCCTAGGAACACCCCCACTGGAAAGATTATCCCAACTAGCACATCTGCAGAGGTTGGGAAAAGATTAGAGGGCACAATGCTGCCAGGCTCTTTCACGGCCATCTCATTAGCTGAGCCCAGGGCCTGCCATTCTGGCTTCATTCCTGATAAGCTCATTGTTTTCCTCCTGCTATCACTGCCTAGGGAGTGGGCCCCTCTCCTGCACTCACCTCTCACCACCATGCCATCCCATCCCATCCTTCCTGCCTCCCCCTTTCTCCAGGGCCTGCTCAGCTCCTGCCCTGGTAACCTCCTCCAGTGCAGTCCAGCATCTCAAAGACACTGCTCCTGGGGGCCCTGAGCCACTGGGGGGGGGGGCCTCGTGGCCCATCGGCTCCACAGAACCCTGCCCCCCAAATGCCTGCATTGCCTCTGCCCCACAAGTCTCCTGGAATGCCCCCTTCCATGCACCCCCAGGAACTTAGTAATTTTTCAGACTTTAAGGTCAACTGAATTAAGGAGTGCAATTCCGAATTGGAGCACCCTTCGCGCAGAGATTTAACCAAACCCCTTTAATATCACCCATCTCATAGTGGGGGGGTTACCCCCCAAAGCTCATGCTGTAATGAAAGTGCTTGTCTCCAAGGTGCCACTGGCACCCTACCCCCAGTATCTCCATGTGCCAATCAGAGCCACGGCAGAGAGAGACAAACATTATACTACTTTGACCCCCCCGCTGCCAGGAGCGTGGGGAGGGTGATCTACTGGCCATAGGTGGACACACTGATCACAGTGGAGGCAACAGGTTTCTACCAGGCTCACCAAAAGCAAAACTAGCCCCCTGCCAGACAGCGTTCCCGGTGAACTGCACACTTGTGCGGCCGCTCGAGAAATTCACATGCCCACCTCTGGGTTTTGTGTTTGTTTGGTGGTGCACATACAAAAATTTATTCCGCACACAGATGGGAAAGATTAGTGGGCACATTGCTGCCAGGCGCTCTCACCACAGCAACCAGGCAAGGAAAGAAACCAGCTTGCTTCCCAGCTCCCAGGAGGAGCATGCAGGCCTGGCATTTAGAATGGCCTCTTAGGTGCAAACTCAGGACCGCTCATATGGACTGATGCCCAGTTTGTTAAATCACTTTTCAGACTGGAGCTGAATTTTAAACGCTGAATCCTGCTGGTTAAATTTGCAGCAGAATGAGGTTTTGGATCACCTGGCCTACCCCAACCGATACATATTTATATACATTATGAATACCAGAGTGAAGAAACATCTAGAAACCTAGGGATCACAGCACATCCACTACCATGTATTTTTTTAAAAAAAAAAACACCTTTATTTGACAAAAAAAAGTTATTTACAGTAGTTTTTTTGCTCCATAAATTTCATTCAAAGGATTCTCCCCTCCCTTTCGTTGCTTCCTTCCCCACTGGCATCCAAGCCCAACCCGGAGGTGCTTTACCATCAACATGCCAAACAGGATACAGCTGTGTGCAGCCCATGCTGACTAGAGCACTGTGGGAATCGCAGTTCTCCCCCTCCTTTCCCATCTCCACCAGTCCCCGCTGCTCAGCCCAGTCCCAGGAAACTTCCTTCCTTTTTGCCAAGAAGAAAACCAAGAAGGCGGGAACTCTCTCCCTCCAGAAGCCCCGTCTGGGATGGCCAGGAGGTTGCAAGCAAAGCATTGGGACCGGGAGACAAAAACTAAATTGATCACTCTTGTCCCTTTCTCCACACCACACAGTTCTGCAGGGAACACCACGACAAATCCAAACCCAGGCCAGGTAGCTGCACTGCAGTGAAAACAGACAGGCAACGTTTCAGGGTGTTCGCCCTGCCCTGCCCTGCCCCACACGGCATCCTTTGTACCAGCACAAAGTGGGAGAGACACACCAAACAAAGTGCATTTTATACCCACTATGCACTGGGGTTAAGGATCTCACATAGCGCATGGCAACAGGATGTCAGGTGGCCTGACTCACCTGCAAGACATGGAAAGGATTCTCTTTTTCACTGGCTTCAGCCCCTTCTCCTGGCCTCATTTTACCCCGAGCAAAAGGTTATTTAAAAAGGAGGGGTGGGGGAATTTCCCTGATAAGCAACTTTTCCTTTCACTGCCCCAAATCCCACAATGCATTGCTCTCCATCCACATGAGCCTCAGGCACGGATGCCAATCATATCCTGCAGACTTTAATATCACTATTCATGCAACATAATAATTAGGCTAACAACCTAGGATTAGTGTTTCTCAAGATAGATACAGAAGTACATATATATCGCTATTTAACTTACATTTACAGTGAAACAGCAAAATTCAACGCAGGGAGGTTCATGTGACCCATGGTATTCCCATTTCTGCAGCCTCCAAAAGTTACAATTCAAATGAAAGGTGTATGGTCTGAAACTCACAGCTATTTGGATTCAAAACTGCTTGGCATGGTTTGTGGTCTAAGCCACCTGCCTCCTAACCCTACACCCTTACTGGCCATTACAACTATTCACAGGGCAACAGAGTTTTGTTTGTTTGTTTTGCTTTTTGGTGTTGTGGCCACAGATTTTGCAGGCTCAAAGTGCGAGAGACCCTGCTCTGCGCAATAAGCCAGCTGGCCACGAGATGTCACCATTGCTCCATCAGCATGGCAGGAACTACATTCAGCATGATAAAAGCAAAGGTTTGCAAATTCCAACTGAGCATGTGTTTCATTAGGCAGTCTGTTAGGACATCATTAGCTTAACCAAGACTCTGCTTTCCAAGCGATGCCTAAATGTCTGATGCAGGCTGCAAACATTACATCAGCAACAGAACAAACAGGCAGCCCATGCCTACAAAGATGTGCTCTTTCCAACAGAGAGAGGGAATTACAAAACCAAAAAGCACAAATTATTTCACAGTCAAGACTTATCTCCATTTCCCCTCCTACCCTACCCCCTCCCGCCACTAAAATGCCCTTTCATCTGCTCTTGGTCGGTATCCTCCCAGGGCATCAGAACACTCCCCTCTCCCTTCCATGTTA